GCAGTCGGAGGGCGGCTGGGCCTTCAGCTGTATGGAGGGCAGCGGCGAGTTGGAGCGGTAGTGGCGACCCAGGTCCGGGCTGCCCGGCGGGTAGTTGAGGGGCAGGTGAATTCGGGGGCTGTCGCTGACAGAGTCATTCATGAGGTTGAACTTGAGTGATTTCTGCAGCCCTGTCTCCTCCTCATCCTCCGTGGGCTTGGGCGGTTTTGGGGACTTGCTCTTCTTCACCTTGCTCTTGCTCTTACTGCTCTTGCTGACCTGCTTGGGTGTGTACAGGTCCTTGGTCTCCTTCTTGCCTGCCTGGTAGCCGCTCTTGGCCTCCCGCTGCCGGCAGTAGCGCACCAGGACGACCAGCACGATGACCAGGGTGACGGCTACGATGCCAGCGATGACTCCAAAAAGGATGTTGCTTCGCTGCTTGCTGCGCTCATATTCGGGGTCTCCGGCGATGTCAATGTCGAGCGGTGTGTCCAGGCTGTGCCCCACCAGTGTGTCCAGCAGTGTGCGGTTGGCCAGCGTCTCATTGACGTAGAAGTGTACCAGCGCTGTGCCATGCCGCGAGGGCTTGCCCTTGTCATTGACACGCACTACCAAGCGGTGCAGGCCATGGTGCTTGCGCAGGATCTCCTTCTCCAGGGTGATGTCTCCACTGTGCGGGGAGATCTGGAAGAGCTCGAAGGGGTTGCCTCCTGTGATGCTGTACGTCAGCTCCGCGTTGACGCCAGAGTCAATGTCCTCTGCTTTAACCTTGCTTACCTGCTGGCCAGGGCTGGTGTGGGGCAGGATGTGTTTGTAGGTGGCATTGGAGGGTGAAGTGATGAAGGGGGCGTTATCGTTCTCATCCAAGACATTGATGGTCACCCCCACATAGGCAGACCTGGGAGGATCCCCACCATCCACCGCCTTGAGTCGGAAAGTGTACGTGCTCTGCTGTTCCCGGTCAAAAGAGATGCTGGAGAGGATGGTGCCAGTGCCATTCTGGATGACAAAATCCCCATTGTCTTGCTCCACCGACAGCTGGATGCGGGCATTTTCTCCTTTGTCAGCATCGATCACCGTCACCATGCCCACAGGGCTGAGGGGTGGCATGTTCTCCATCACTGAGAAGTTGTAGCCGCTCAGCATGAACTTGGGGTCATTGTCATTCCTGTCCATGACATTGATGGCCACAGACGCCGTGCCCTTGAGGCTGGGGCTGCCCTTGTCTGCCGCCACCACCAAGAACTCATAGCGCTCCCGCTGCTCTCGGTCCAGCATCGCCTTCACCCGGATCTCCCCGGAGTCGGGGTCAATGGTGAAGGAGCCCTTGGAGGAGGGGTCTGTCACCAGGGAGTAAACCAGCTTGGCATTGGAGCCACTGTCAGCATCGCTGGCGCTCACCTCCATCACCAGGTCGTCGGGCTCGTTGTTCTCAGGGAACGCCACCTCAGTGAAGCTCTGGCTGAAGACTGGTGCATTGTCATTCACGTCCACCACCTGCACCTTCAAAGAGTTGGTGCTGGAGAGGGGCGGGGTCCCTGAGTCCACCGCCACAATCTCAATTGTGTAATCCTTCACCGACTCATAGTCCAGCGGCGTGGTGGTCTGCAGGAAGTATTTCTTCTTGCTGTCGCTCCCGGTTTCACTAGCCTGCCGCAGCTGGAATGGGACGTCACCAGCCACCACGCAGGTCACCACAGCGTTTTCGCCCTCATCTCGGTCGGACACCTGCACCAAAGCTACTGCTGTCTCTACTGGCACATCCTCCGAGATGTTTGCCATGCCATCCTGGTGGGTCACAAGCCCAATGCCCCGTATCTCTATGGAGGGCGCATTGTCATTCATGTCCTTGATGGTGACCACCACCTGGGTGCGGGCACTCTTGGGGTTGGCTCCCTTGTCCTTGGCCATGACGGAGAACTTGAGGGTGTTGACATCCTCGCGGTCTATGGGCCCCTGCACAGTGATGAGCCCTGTGGTGCGATCCAGGCGCAGCAGCCGGCGCACCATGTCCGAGGCTTGGTGGAAGGAGTAGTCGATTTCAGCGTTGGCGCCCTGGTCCGAGTCGTTGGCTTTCACCTGTGGGATGGAGGGAGAAACAGTGAGCAGGAGGGCAAGGCTGCGCGAGTCCCTCCACAAACCACCCTGCTGCCTGCCACGGCCTCCTTTTGGGATGTCTGGTGGGGAAAAACCAGGATTTCCTCTTCTGGGGCCAAGGACTATGGGGCAAAGAGCCTGGGACCGGTAGAGCGGCTGGGAGCGGCCCTCCGGCGCAGAGGCTTTTTTCCTTGCTCTTCCGGCAAAACCGGCTGGGCCGGTCAGCCACGCTCCCCTCCCGGCCAGCTCTGGCACGCAGGGAATCCTCTGGGAACCCTCTCCACCACAGCCCAGGCAGCAGCATGGAGGGACGGCTTTGGCTGCACCCGCTCCGCAAAACCCTCCCAGAACAGGGGCTTGAGGCAAGGATGAGGGAGGCGCGGATGTGCAGAGCCGCAGCAGCTCCATCCTGGTGTTCAGGGATGCAGCCAAGCAGGGAACAGGGCTGCCTCGGCTCTGCACAGCACCAGCCTTCCCTGCCCGCCTGTCAGGAGCTCTGCATTCGCATAAACCTACCTCTATGCCTATTATTTGCTTTCTAAAGAAGATGAGGTTTGTCTAACATTTGCCTCCCTAATCGGCTCTCCGAGCAGCCTCTTCTCTGCACCATTTGCTGCTCCGCCGTTATCTTGCTCAGCAGATTTGGATGGAGAACGAAAGTTGTTAAATGTAAATTCCACCTTTTACCTCCACTCACAAAAAAGGCGGAAGTCATTTTCCCCCTAAAGTCTGAGCAAGGGCAGCAGCGGCGTCTCAGCCCGTTCTCCTCCCGGCCGTGCAGCTCCCTTATCTGCTTCCAACTTCCATTCTCTTAACAGTGAAAAATGAATTCTTAAAAAATTCACGTCAGAATTAGCAAGCAGATGAGAGCTGGCCGCGCTCCGCTTATTAAGATGGCAGCTGCAGATAAACAGATGTCGGCTACTATCATCTCAATGCCCCCTCCAAGCCAAATCCACCGAGATCCACCTCCTCAGGCTCCCTGGGCCAGTTTGCACTGCCGGCTGAGATGGGGCAGAGCCCCTGGCCCCTGCAGACAGCAAGACAGCCCCGGAGTTAAAGCTAGCCCCCCCACCCCAGACAGGCAGCAGGGATGCTGCCTGCCCCCCAGCTCCTGTGCTAGCCGGAGTTTCCATGGAGCGGTCAAGGGAATGCAACTTATGAAAGGCTCTATGTCTTGTCTGTGGGCAGCATTGAGACCGGTCTGGCACGAAGCCAGGCTCCCCGTGGACCTCGGGTCCCAGCCCTTCCCATAACCCGGAGCCTTGCTCCCGCGTACCCACCAGCACTGCTGCTGCCCCTCAGCCCGTTCCTGCAGCCCCTGCTCTAGCTGCACCTTCCCACGCATCCTTTCCAACCTTGTTTTACCAGATGTGACATCCCAGGGACCTGCCTGCCCCCTGGCCCTGGGTGACACTGTGGGCTTCTATGGCTTGCAACACTTCTAGGGTCTTTCATCCCTTGAGGAACCGTGACAGCAAATGGCTGTATAAATGCTCCCTGTCTTGTCCCTACTGCAGCCAGGCAGCAGGGGAGCTGGGGACAAGAAAGCTGCTGCACTCACCTGGAGGACAGAGTGTCCCACAGGGCTGTTTTCGGAGAGCTCCGCCTCGTACAGGGCCTTCTCGAACTTGGGCGCGTTGTCATTCATGTCCAGGATAGTGATGCGAAGCAGGGCGCTGCTTGCCCGCGGAGGGTTGCCTCCATCTTGCACCTTGATGGTCAGATCATAGGAGTCCCACTGCTCCCGGTCCAGGTTCCCCATGACGATCAGCTGCGGCTGCTTCCCAGCCTGTTGCAGCCCAAAGAGCTCCTGCGCTTCCGGACCAGCCGTCAGCTCGTAGGAGGCAACACCGTTGGGGCCCGAGTCCCGGTCCATGGCCAGGGGGATGGGGAAGAGTGCCCCGATGTTGGTGTTTTCAGGGATGGAGAGGGTGAGAACGGGCGAGGCAAAGTTGGGGGTGTTGTCATTGATATCGAGCACCTCTATCTGCCCCTCGAGCAGGCGTGGGCTGCTGTTCAAGATCAAGTCAGTGATGGACACTTCGAACTCCAGGAAGCAGGGGTCTCCGGGCAGGAGGTGCTGGCATTCACGCAAGCTCTCCCGGTCGATGGAGGTCTCTGTGGTGTAGATGTCCCCAGTCTTGCCGTCCACACGTAGGTACGGGGCCCCCACTTCCAGCTTGTAGAGGTGCCCCACGTCTGGGAATCCGTAGTCAGAGGCCAGGCTCCCTATGAGGGTGTTGGGGGGTTGTTCCTCCTGCACTTTGTACACCACACGGGTCCCAGAGACCAGGGCAGGGAGCTGGAGGAAGAGCCACAGGCCCAGGCAGGATGCCAGCGGCTTCATCCTGCGCTGCAGGGAAGCTGGAAGGAGACACGGACACTGGAGGTTAGGCGACCCCAAGCCCCTGGGACCACACCGCCCCCACC